AAAAAAAAAAAAACGTTGAAAGAACTGAAGAACATCCTAGGAGCCTCTGCATGTGTGCTTAATTTTGATTCTGTGCGTCAAATCTTGTTTGGCCAAGATTGTGATGCTAAAAAAGCAGCTTATACCACGCTTTCAAAGGAAAGTCATATTTCTAATTTTTACTGAATGATTCGCACTCTCTGGCCCCTGAACATTATTCTTGGGTATACCAAAAACGTCATTACGGACCTGCGGAGGACAGAACTTGAGGGGTGGAGCCTCCATCCTGTGCCGGAAGCGGCTGTCCCTTAGTGCGTCTGCGTGGTTCTCCCACGCCCTGCGAAGGATTGCTATCCATTCGCTCTGCGCTTGACAGCTCTTCCTGGCAGTGGGCGGCCATCTTGCCTGAAGCCTGAGAGAGGGAGAAGAGAGACAGAAGAAAAGGGTGACACTGGTCTCAGGGCCGCCCCGGGGGCCTCAAGAGCCGGAGGCAGCCCCGGAGGTGGTCTCTGATCCCGGGCCCTGCTCTTGAACCCAAAAAGGGAAGGCGGGGGGCGGGGGGCAAGAAGATGGATGGAGAATGCCAAGGATTGCTAGACCGGGGGTGGGGCGTCGCTATGGCGACCGGGGAGGGGCGGGATCAGATCTGAATCGCTGGTGTGAATCTTCCGGGAGCTGCCCGGGGAGGGCAGGGCTGGGGTGATGACCATGCTAACTGCCGGGTGCTACTTCGCGACGTCCCGGCGTAGAGGGACTAAGTGTCTATGGCAACGGTCGTCTGGCAGAAGGGGAGGAACTAAGTCCTTTCACTTGAAACGCTGACATTCCAGGCCCTTGTCCTGCAGGCTCCCGCGGGCGGACAGGCCGGAAGAGGAGGCCGGGGAATGGCCGCGGTGTGGCAGCAGGTCTTAGCAGTAGACGCGAGGTGAGGCGTGGGGTCGAAGCCCATGGGAACGGAAGTTACTGGGGTGCATGCGCAATGGCGATAAGTGAGGCTGCGCGGAGAACTTGCCTTATGCGGCTGCGTGGGCGTGCCGGAGGTGAGCATGCGCAGTAGCAGGGTGTGGGGGCTTGCCCGCAGAGAGAAGAGCTGGCCGGAGGGTCGTAAAGAGCATGCTTGGAAAGTGCGGTCAGATGTGGGCATGCGTCAAGAGGCTGTGCTTCCAGAGCCTTTGGGAGGGGGTGTTGGAGCTCAGGCTAGTGACATCCTGTTCCCCACCATTGCCCCCCCCCCCCGCAGACTTCTCTTACCATCATCACTTCCCCAGTCTGACCCCATCACCATCCCATACTGACCTCCACCGTTGCCCCACACTAACCCCCATCACCATGTCATCCTGACCCGTGTTGTTGTCTACACTGACTCGGTCACCACATCCCAAATCCAACAAAGCTTCAGACGGCCTCCATTGCCCCCACACTGACCTCGTCATCATGCCCTTTATTACTGTAGACCCACCCTCCTCACAGCACCAGAGGGACCCCCATCACCGCTGCTGATCACTTGCCATCCTGACCTCTCACTGCCACACACCTCATTCTCTTTCCCTGTCCCTTGAGCTGATTGATTCCCTCTGTCCTGTGCCTGCTGCCCATCCTGCCTCCTGCCATCATAGGTACAACGCGTACCGCACACCAACGTTTCCACAGTTTCGGACACAGTATATCCGTCGGCGCAGCCAGCTACTGCGGGAGAATGCCAAGGCTGGGCACCCCCCGGCACTGCGTCGGCAGTACCTGAGGCTGCGTGGGCAGCTGCTGGGCCAGCGATACGGGCCCCTCTCCGAGCCAGGCAGTGCTCGTGCCTATAGCAACAGCATCGTCCGCAGCAGCCGAACTACCCTTGACCGCATGGAGGTGAGCTCCACCTCATGCTCCTGCCATAAATACCACCTACCTCCATATACATTCACTCAGCGGACTTGTCAAGCACCTGCTATGTGCAAGGCACCGTTCTAGGCTCTTGGATGACCATAGAGCAAAAAGAGATAATCTAAAGTCAGTAAACAGACAATAAACAAGATAAGCAGGTTGATAAATGGGCAATAAACAGGATAAATAGTGCAATAGGCATACCAAATCAGATAAACAAGTTCAATAATTAACGTGGCTTATAGTGAGGAGTGCTAAGATGGAAAAATAAAGCAGACTTGGGGGATAAAATGAGACTGGTGTTGGGGCGCCTGGGTGGCGCAGTCGGTTAAGCTTCCGACTTCAGCCAGGTCACGATCTCGCGGTCCGTGAGTTCGAGCCCCGCGTCGGGCTCTGGGCTGATGGCTCAGAGCCTGGAGCCTGTTTCCGATTCTGTGTCTCCCTCTCTCTCTGCCCCTCCCCCGTTCATGCTCTGTCTCTCTCTGTCCCAAAAATAAATAAACGTTGAAAAAAAATTTAAAATTATTAAAAAAATAATAATAATAATAAAAAAAATAAAATGAGACTGGTGTGAAGGACAGAGGGAAGCTGTTTTTGATGGGGATGATCAGGAAAGTCTTCTCCAAGGAGGTGACAGTTGAGCTGAGATTTGAATGAAGAGACTGAGCTGAGTGTTTTTTGGGGGAAAGTGTTCATTCTTTCTTCACAGAACATTTATTGAGTATCCACTGAGTAGGGGAAGGGGGCAAGCAGGAGAACAGCACAGAAGCCACCACAGTAGTCCAAGCGATGGTGGTGGCAGTGGCTAGGGTGAGAAGGGATCTGGTTCTAGGCATGTTTTCAAGACCCCAGACCCCATAAGTTCCTGGGGGCTTCTTTTAAGATGTGCCCACCATGACCCTCTGTTTGCAGGACTTTGAGGATGATCCTCGGGCCCTGGGGGCTCGTGGGCACCGCCGTTCTGTCAGCCGAGGCTCCTACCAGCTGCAGGCACAGATGAACCGTGCTGTCTATGAGGATAGGTACGCCCCAGGGGCAGCTGTGAGCTGGGGCTTTGTGGAGGGGGGGAGGGCCATGGGGCAACAGCAGACTGGATGCTAACAGGCACCTCACATTATCTCCCACTCCCATTGGGGCCCAGGCCCCCTGGCAGCGTAGTACCTACATCAGCAGCAGAAGCAAGTCGAGCCATGGCTGGGGACACATCACTGAGTGAGAACTATGCGTTTGCGGGCATGTACCATGTCTTTGACCAGCACGTGGATGAGGCAGGTAAGCCAGCTCCGGTAGCGGGTCGCATCACCATGCATTTGCCTAAACTGTGACAACTATTCAGTGCATCTGTTTCTGGAATGCAAAGTCTCTGGCCCACCTCTGAAGGAGGAATTGCGATCCATAAAGCTTTTTGCGGGGGTGCCTGGCTGGCTCAATCGATGGAGCATACGACTCTTGATCTCGGGGTTGTGGGTTTGGGTCCCACATTGGGTACAGAGATTACTATTTTTTTTTTTTGGATATAATTTATTGTCAAGTTGGCTGACATACAGTGTTACCATATAGGTCCATACAGGGGCCAGCCGAGTGAGCCTAGTGTATACAGTGTGTTCTTGGTTTTGGGGGTAGATGCCTGTGATTCATCACTTAAATACAACACCCACTGCTCATCCCAAGTGCCCTCCTCAATGCCCATCACCCATTTCCCCCTCTCCCCCACCCAAGATTATTTTAAAAATCTTAAAATAAAAACACTTTCTGCAAACATAAAAGCTCTCTGCAAAGTAAAGCTCTGTGCAAACTCTCAGGTATTTTATCTACCATAAAAGGGCTCAGCAGCTTAAAAGAGGACTTTGCAGAAGGCTTCTGGGGTTGTGAGTTGCTTGGAAGAGTTCAGAACCTTTACAGAGAAATCTCCTTGCAAAAGGCCGCACGGGTTTTGCAAACTGCCGAGACCTTGGTAATTGTAAAGTGCTTGCTGAGGTGTAGGGGGCTTTTGGAAAAGGGCCTTCTGGGGTTCCAACTCCCTTCCCCAGCCAAGGAAAGCCCTTTGCTGAGGCCATTGTCCTTGGCGTGGTGGGTCCGGGCCCCTGGCCCACACGTCAGAGCCTTATGTAAATGAAAGCACCTGGTGAGTGTGCTGAGTCCCACGAACGGCTCCTTTGCATTGCAGTGCCAAGAGTGCGCTTCGCCAATGATGACCGGCACCGCCTGGCCTGCTGTTCCCTCGACGGCAGCATCTCACTGTGCCAGCTGGTGCCTGCCCCGCCCACCGTGCTCCGTGTACTGCGGGGCCACACCCGCGGTGTCTCTGACTTCGCCTGGTCCCTCTCCAACGACATCCTTGTGTCCACCTCACTCGATGCTACCATGCGCATCTGGGCCTCTGAAGACGGCCGCTGCATCCGGGAGATTCCTGACCCCGATGGCGCCGAATTGCTCTGCTGCACCTTCCAGCCGGTCAACAACAACCTCACTGTGGTCAGGCCCTAGGGTGTCCGCTCACTGAGGGCGGGGATGCTGGGCCGGGAGAGCTGTCCCAGGGAATCTGTCTGAGGGTCAGGGCGGTCCCCTCCAGTCCATCACCAGAGTCCCCCTGTGGTCAGACTCAGAGGGAAATGAGTCAGAATGGGGATGCGGTTCTTGGCTTGGGGTGACCTTGCTAATGTAGACTCCAGTGGGGACTGGTCAGGAGGCCGAGTCCCAGCTCTGGTAGCCCTTTCGGTCCTGTCAACAGCAGTGCTGCCATTTTCCAAGTGCAGGGGCTGTTGGCTGGGGATCAGGGTGACTAGTCAGAAGGCTGGTCTCTCAGTGGCAGCGGTCCTGCCACTCTCAGTGGCAGGGTCATCCTGCGGTCCGACCCCAGGATGGAGAGTTAGAGGGTGGGGGAAGGGAGTGAAAATCTGGCCTGGCCCTGAGGGGCCTAGAGGGGACCGGCCGCATGAGCTTGTGCACTGGGATCCTTTCTGCTGCACCAGCCCCAGTGTGGGCAAGTGTCCAGCAAGGACCAGGCAGGAAGCAGACCGGCTATTATTACCAGCCTAGGACGGCCCTGTGGTTTGCCTGTCACAGGGGGTGCTGCCTCAGGGGCAGCACTATGGGTCTGAGACCCCCTTAGTCCGGGAGCAGCTGTCTATCCTGGTTAGGTTGCAAGAGGGGCTGGCTCTGAAGGATCACAGGCCTGGGTCGCCTTTTAGTCTACCTGCCACAGCCCCACTGGGGTTAGAGTCCAGTAGGAACCAGCCGGTCCCATCCACAGTGGCTCCATTACGGTCAGACTCGAGGAGGGACTGGCTGAGAGCAGGATGACAGCACGCAGATCTCACCCACAGGTGGGGAATGCCAAGCACAACGTGCACGTTATGAACATCTCCACGGGCAAGAAAGTGAAGGGTGGCTCCAGCAAGCTGACGGGCCGGGTTCTCGCTCTGTCCTTTGATGCCCCTGGCCGGCTACTCTGGGCAGGAGATGACCGCGGCAGTGTTTTCTCCTTCCTTTTTGACATGGCCACAGGTAGGCAGGTCCCAGGCCTGCATCCGGGTGTTCGCACTCCCCCTCGGCCCAGTGCACGGGCCCTCACCCTCACCTTTGCCTCCCCTCCCTCCGCTATTACAGGGAAACTGACCAAAGCCAAGCGTCTGGTGGTGCACGAGGGTAGCCCTGTGACCAGCATCTCCGCCCGCTCCTGGGTCAGCCGAGAGGCCCGGGACCCCTCGCTACTCATCAACGCTTGCCTCAACAAGCTGCTGCTCTATAGGTGGGTCTTCCCTGTCTGGGCTGCCTGGAGATGCAGGGCCCACTGCCTCCATCAGCCCAGGATGGGAGCACCGTCTCCTCGTAGGGCCCAAAAGCCTGTCTCCTCCATCAGGTTAAGTTCAGTGAGTGGAGAAGCCCGGTCTCCTTACAATAATGATGATAGCGATGGTAGTAGTAATGGCAGAAGTCACTGGTGCTTACGTGGCAGTTGCTGGCACCAGGCCCTGTTGGAGCACCTCATATGTACCACTTCATTTAATCCACAACAGCCCTGTGAGGAAGGTGCTGTCATCGCGTTCATTTCACAGATGACCAACGTGAGGCATAGCATAGACTGGGCCCCCCTGAAAGCAGAGGTCTGTTCTCCTTCCTTCCTTCCTTCCTTCCTTCCTTCCTTCCTTCCTTCCTTCCTTCCTTCTTTCTTCTTTTTTGATTGTGTCAAACCCACAAACTGTAAGATCTTGATCTGAGCCGAAGTCGGACGCTTAACCGACTGAGCCACCCAGGTGCCCCATCTTTTTTAATTTTTTTTTTATTTTTTTGAGTGGAGGAGTTTACCATCCCTGCTGATGTATGACATGTTACCCAAATGCAGTTTGCAGCCCATGCTGGAATGACCTGAAGGGCTTCACAAAGTCCTGGCCAGGCCCCACTCCAGGCCATTGATTCCAGAAGCTCTGGGGCAGGACTGGGCATTGGTACATTGAAAAGTTCCCCAAGTGCTGTCCAGTGATGTCCGAAAACCACTGCCCAACAGGATGCTTTTAGTTTATTGTTTTATTTTTCTACTCTTTTAAAAAAATTCACACACACACACACGCATATCTATATATTTTTTGTTTATTTATTTATTTTTGAGAGAAAGAGAGCAAGTGGGGTAGGGGCAGAGAGAGAGGGGAGAGAGAGAATCCCAAGCAGCCTCTGCACTGTCAGCGCAGACCATGACTTGGGGCTCAGGCTCACGAACTGTGAGATCATGACCTGAACCAAAACCACGAGTTGGATGCTTAACTGACGGAGACACCCAGGAGCCCCTATAGTTCTTAATTTAGGTATACTCCCAAGTTTTTGGCTATTTCCCCCATCCCCTCCCTTCCGTCCTCCTCCTTCCTGCCACTTGCTGTGGTAGAGCCTGATAACAACTCTGGAAGTACCTTCCTATATTTTGTTCTCTCCCCTGTAATTCTAGGTGTGCACACCCATCCACACGTTTCCGGGGGAGGGTCATTGTTTTACAGGAGCGGCTCCTACATCCTTTTCCACTGCTCACTTTTCTCACCAGATGATGCTGTGGAAATGCCCCCAAGTCACCTACAGTGCTGTCGGTTCATTCTTTTGAATGGCCTTGTCGTATTCTGCAGTGCAGGGATATCTAGTCTGGTCAGCCCTTCCTCTCTGTGCCTGTCTTAACACCAGGATCTCTTAGAAACCCCTAGAAAGAGAAACCAGTGAACAACACACTGCAGAGGCTCCCCGTCTACACCAACAGGTAGTTTCCAAACTGTCACGAGCTCACACAGCAGCCCATGCTTCGTAGGTAGGTATACACGGTCATCTCAAAACTGGATTGTGTGAACCTTGAGAACTCGGGCGCAGGGGCACAGACGGGCCCCCCTCCCCACCATGCATTGCCATCCAGAGCTGAGGTTCCACGCCCTGAGCTGCTCTAACCCTCCCCTCAGGGTGGTAGACAACGAGGGGACCCTGCAGCTGAAGAGAAGCTTCCCCATCGAGCAGGGCTCACACCCTGTTCGCAGCATCTTCTGTCCCCTCATGTCCTTCCGCCAGGGGGCCTGTGTGGGTGAGTTCCCCAGGGTCGGGGCATATGGGGGGCCAGGGAGGGGCAGGGACCAGAGCTGCTGCTGATCTGGCTCAGATCTCACAATCCCCAGGTGCCCAGACTTTCTGGGCCTTGAGAACTCTCCCATCCCAGCAGCTTCCCACTTTGAACGAAGACCCCTAAACAGCTTAGAATCCTCACGGCATGAGACACAGCACCCCCCACCCCCAAACAGCTCAGAGACCTCACAGTCTGGATGCAGGACTAAAACAGCCAGGTGACCCCTGTCTAGGGACGGTCCCTCCCACACCTCCCCACACCTCCCCACACCACACTGGGGCTTCACACCCTGGGCACCCCGCTTCCTCCTGCAACATCTCCTGAGGGCCTCTCCCTCTTGTCCGGGCAGTGACGGGCAGCGAGGACATGTGTGTGCACTTCTTTGATGTGGAGCGAGCAGCCAAGGCCGCTGTCAACAAGCTGCAGGGCCACAGCGCACCTGTGCTGGACGTCAGCTTCAACTGTGATGAGAGCCTGCTGGCTTCCAGCGACGCCAGTGGCATGGTCATCGTCTGGAGGCGGGAGCAGAAGTAGGTGCCTTCCGGCCCTGCTGTGTCCACCTCCCCGTCCACTTCCTGCCTTGTGTTTGTAAATAAAGTTTCTGTGGTTGTGTCGATGGCTGGCTCCCAGGTCTGCTGGGGTTGGGATCGGGCAAAAGGGAATCTGTAGGACCCAAGCTGGAATGGGGTTCACTTCCGCATTCATGCACTGATTTCTTCATTCAGTTAGCAACCATTTATTGAATGCCTGCCGTGTCCTAGGCGCCACCTTAAACGTTTTACACAGTCCTGCTGTAGACAAACATCGAGCACCTACCATGCACTGGGAACTGTTGTAGGCACTGGGGGTGTAGCTGTAACCTCAACAGACAGAAATCCCTGCCTTCGTGGGGCTTACGTTCTAGCGCAGGTAGATAATAGACAAAAATATATCCCAGGTCAGCTCAGGATCAGTGCTGTGAGGGAAAAGAAAGGACAGGAGGCCAAGGCACAAGAGTGAGATGTGCTCTTTTTGGTGCTGTGATCAGGGAAGGTGGTGAAATTTAAAGACCTGAATGAAGTGAGAGGGAGCCATGGTGTGTGGGAGAGAACATTCTAGGCAGAGAGGAAAAGGCAATGCAAAGGCAGAGGCTGGAGTGTGCCAGAAGGATCACTGAAGAGGCTGGTGTGGCTGGACCAGAATGTGGTAGATGAGGCTTTATGGCCACAGTGAAGACTTGGGCTTTTTCTTTTTTTAATGTCTGTTTTTGAGGGGGGGGGAGGGACAGACAGAGGGGGGCACAGAGGATCCGAAGCAGACTCCAGGCTCTGTGCTGACAGCAGAGAGCCCAATGTGGGGTTCGAACTCCCAAATCGTGAGATCATGACCTGAGCCAGAAGTCGGACACTTAACCTACTGAGCCACGCAGGCACCCTGACTTAGGCTTTTTCTGAGTAAGAGGTGAGTCACTGGTTTGAGCAGGGGAGGGACACGCTCCAATTTGGTTGTGTGAGGACCCCTCTGGGTGCTGTGAAGACTTGGAGGTGGGGGCAAGGGCGGAAGCAAGCGGATCAGTCCGGAGGCCCTGCGGTAGCCGAGGTGAGCAGTGATGAGGACTTGTGCCAGGATAGTGGCAGTGGGGAATTGAGGTGAGAAACGTTGGCTTCTACCACGGGTTTCATGTGAGTCTGCAGGGCTCTGCTGCCTCCCCGGGAAGGCTGAGGCTCCCGGCTCCCCTGACGCTTGTTCCCCACAAACAGGCGGAGCTAGTGTCTCCTGCTGGGGGAGGGAGGGGACGGAGATTCTCTGCATCCCCAGAGCAACTCCAGACCACCCCAAGCCCTTTCCACGCCCACCCAGGTCCCAAATCCAAGGCCTGAAACAGCTGAAAGTCTGTAAAGTGGTGTTCAAATTTGAGGGGGGCCCTGACCTGACTGAGGAGAGAAAGCCTGGGGTATAAACAAGGTGGGGGCTAGAGAACGAAAGCCCTGGTCAATGACCTGAGTCACCCGGAAATGTCAAAGTTGCCGGAAATGCCAAGGTGGGGGGGCTCTTGCTCCGGCTGAGCCCTTCCAGCTGCAGAGGCCACCACATCCAGATGCATCAGTCGGAACTGTGGCCACCACCTTGAGACCTCAGGGTCAGTCCGCAGAGCCACAGGCACTCTAACCTGGCTCGACGTAAGTGAGCTACTGAACTAACACTAGCAACCTTGAAGGAGGAAAATAACCTGTGTACTCAAGACCCTGTTATTTGACAGTGTGGTTACTTGCAGCCAGAAGCATTTCTACCTGGTGCTTCCATCTGACTTTAAGATAAATGGTGATGAGGTAAGGACATCGGAGAGTTGGACTGTTCATGATGAAGTTCATGTATCTGTGTTGGGTGTCCCCAAGACCACTCAGACCCCAGGGTTTGCTGGGAGGACTCTCAGTCTCAGCATACGGTTGTATACACAGCTATGGTTTCTTCCAGGGAATCTAATAGGGAGAAAGACACAGAGCACAATCAGCAAAGAGAAATGGGTGCCTGGGGCAAATTTCAGGGGAGACCAGCCAGGCACAAGCTTCCAAGGGTCCTCTCCCAGCGGAGTCACACAGGACACACGTAATTCTCCCATCATGGCTTGTGATAACCCAGAGAAGCTCATTATTAGAGGTTGAGTGCCCAGGGTTTTTACTGGGGGCTGGTATGCATGGTCAGCCAAGTTGGGCTGCCTGGCATATACCCAGCTTCCAGACTCCCAAAAGAAAAGCAGGTGTTTGCCATAAACCAGAGCGCTTATCGGAACAGTTGAGGCACAGTGAGCCACACATCATTTAGAGAGTGGTGAGAACCCTCGTGAAATCTCAAAAGTTTCCAGATGCCAGCCGAGTGCCATCCTTGAAGCAGACTTTTACAAGGAGAGAAGTTCAGGCCTGCCGCGTTAACTTTTTCTGCATGCTGTGCAACACCGAAAAGATGCTCGGCTTCAACCAAAGTCAGTGGGTGGGCAAGATCACTTGGGAAAACCTCATTTGTCTCTAGCAACTTCTTTATTTCTTCACATTTTTTAAAAAACTACAATGAGATATCACCTCACACCTGTTTTAAGTATATTTATTTATTTTGAGAGAGAGCACAAGCAGGGGTGGGGGACAGAGAGAGAGGGGGACAGAGGATCCACAGCGGGCTTGGTGCTGACAGCAGAGAACCTGATGCAGGGCTTGAATTCACGAACCATGAGATCATGACCTGAGCTGAAGTCAGATGCTAAACCAACTGAGCCACTTAGGTGCCCCTCTTCACATTCTTCACGTTGCTTGTTGAGTCTGGACTCAAGATGGCTAACTGCTGATATCCAACATGATTTGGGTGGGTTCCTTCTTGTGAAATTTTCAGGTGGCAGAGTTGACATCCTATTTTTTATTTTTAATTTTTAATTTTTTACTTGATTTTTTTAAAGTAATCTCTATGCCCAATATAGGGCTCAAACTCACGACCCCGAGATCAAGAGTTACATGTGACTGAGCCAGCCAGGTGCCCCAACATTCTGCTTGAAATTAATTTTCATGATACCTTTTTTTTTTAATGTTTATTTATTTTTGAGAGAGAGAGAGCTCGAACCAGGGGGGTGCAGTGAGAAAGGGAGACAGTGGATCTGAAGTGGGCTCTGTGCTGAAAGCAGAGAGCCTGACGCGGGTCCCAAATTCACAAACAACAGTCATGACCTGAAACAAAGTCAGATGCTTAACCGACTGAGCCACCCAGGCGCCCCTCATGATACCTTTTCTTGACTTACAACCTAAGAGGAAATAAGTAGTGAGCAATTAAAAAAAAATCTTATTGGTTAAATTTGGGCCTCTGTTAACTTGTCCATCATCACTGTGCATCCTGTTTGACATCAGATCTGGAACTCTTAACCACTCCACCATCAGTGCTGCTCTAGTGTTGCCTCAAATCCAGGCCCCCATTAACTGTTATATGCCCTTTGACTCTGAACTTGTGCGTTTACTTCATCAAAAGCCTCTCTAGTTTGAACTTGAAGCAGAGCCTTTGTTAATTATTACCTCATCAGTGTACCGCTGATCAAATCTCAAACCAGGGCCTCTGTATAATATTCCATCAGCTACTATCTTTTGATCTGACCTTAAAGTTGGGATTCTGTTCATTTGTGATCAGCGCCCTTTTGCTTCATTCCAACCTCAAGGACCCTCAATCCTGATCTTGAATCTAGGCCTCTGTTAATTATTTTACCATTTATGCCCTTATGGCGTCAATTCCAATCTGCTCTGTTAAGCTTGTAGCTTAACAGTTGTGCCATTAACCTGTGTGGTCCAAATTTCAGCCCAGGCTTCTGCTAACTATTCTACCATCACTGTCTCTTTGGTCTAAACTCAAATCTGGGCATTTCTTTTTTTTTTAAGTTTATTTATTTATTTTGAGAGGGGGAGGGGCCGAGAGAGAGAGAGGGAGAGAGAGAATCCCAAGCAGGCTCCATGCTGTCGTGCAGAGACCAACACAGGGCTCGAATTCATGAACCATGAGATCATGACCAGAGCTGAAATCAAGAGTCCACACTTAACTGAATGAGCAGGCCCAGGGGCACCTGGGCCTCTCTTAACATTTCCTCCACCAACGCCTTGCTTGTATGACCTCAAACCCAGGCATCTTTTTTAAGATTTTATCTTTATTTTATTTTATTTTATTTTATTTTATTTTATTTTATTTTAATGTTTATTCAACTTTGGGAGAGAGAGCATGAGCATGAGTGGGGGAAGAGGCAGAGAGAGAGAGGGAGACACAGAATCCGAAGCAGGCTCCAGGCTCTGAGCTGTCAGCACAGAGCCCGACATGGGGCTTGAACCCACAAACTGTTAGGTCATGACGTGAGCCGAACTTGGACACACAACCGACTGAGCCACCCAGGAGCCACTTAAGATTTTATTTTTAAGTAATCTCTACACCCAACGTGGGGCTCAAACTCGCAACCCCAAGATCAAGAGTTGCATGCTCTACTGACTGAGCCAGCAAGGCGCCCCAACCCAGGTACTTTTAACTTTACCACCATCAGTATCCACCTGTTCTACCCTCAGACCTGGTCTTCTGCTAATGCTTGCATCATCAACACCTCTGGTTTTCCTTCAAACTCAAGTCTTGTTAACTCTTCCACCATCAGTGCTACAGAGGTCTAAACTCTAGCCTGGGACTCTATTTAGAATTCTACCATCAATAACTCTTTGTCCTTGAATCCAGGCTTCAGTTAACTCATTATCAATGCCCCTCAGGTCTGAAACCTGAGCCTGTTAACTTTTCCACAATGCTCCTCTGGCTTGACTTCAATAAACTATTCCACAATCTGTACCCTTGTGATCTCACCTTGAACCCTGGCCTCTATTTACTATTCTTTTATAACTATTCCTTTAATCTGACCTTGAACCTAAGACACTGGTAATGCTTGTAGCATCAATCCTCTCTGGGAAAACCTCAGCCCCCATGCCTGTTAACTATTCCATTATCACTTCCGTTCTGTTCTGACCTTGAACCTGAGCTTCTGCAAACTATTCTACCATTAATACCCCTCTGGTCTTAATTTGGAACTGAAATTCTGCTGACTACTCTTCGGTCCAACCTTGAGTCTGGGCCTATGATTAAT